CTGTCCCTCAGCTCTTCAGCTCAAGGCTAGCGCTCTACCACTTGAGCCACAGTGCCACTTCTGGCCTTTTTCTTTTTGCTTATGTGGTGCTAAAGAATCGAACCCAGGGCCTCATGCATGCAAGGCAAGCACTCTACCACTGAGCCACCCAGCCCTTTATACTTTATTTTTATTAAAAGATATACTTTGCAGATCTTTCTAACAGTATATAAGGACTTCATTTTTGAATTTATTATATAATGTTTTATTTTGTGGACATATCATCTACTTGAGGTAATTACAAATAATTTTTCCCCAAGGCCTGGGGAACTCAGGGCCTAGGCTCTGTCCTTGAGCTTCTCTGTGTTCAAGGCTAGAGCACTTCCACTTGAGCCACAGTGCCACTTCTGGCTTCCTCTGTTTATGTGGTACTGAGGAATTGAACTGAGGCTTCATGTATGCTAAGCAAGCATTCTACTGCTAAGCAAGCATTCTACTACTAAGCCACATTCTCAGCCTACAAATAATTCTTAAACATTAATTTTGCACAGGAAAAATTAAGAGGTATTGAATAAAGATTGGCAATTTTTATATATCTGAAAGGTATTATAAAGATACTGACTGCCTTTTACAAGGCTATAAAAATCTATGCATATCAACAACATATAAAATGTTAATTTCCTTGCAAACTTCAGGAAAATAACAGAATTTTGTATATATATTTTTTCTTCTATGAATATTTTTTTACTTTTTAGTATATGTTTTTTCTTGTAAAGATACTATACAGAGGGGTTACAGTTACATCAGTAAGGTAATGAGTACATTTCCTATCGAGCATTGTTACCTTCTCCTTTGTTTTTCCCCTACTATCCCTTCCCGCCCCACCTCCTCAACTCCTCCCTCCCGCCCCCAAGTTGTAAAGTTTGTTTTCAACATAGTGTCTTGTACATCTCATTGTTACAATGGGTCAACCTGTATCCTTATTTCAGTATTTTGTTATTTCCCTTCTCCCCAAATTAGAAAAATGTATTTACAAGATGCAGGGTACCGAAAAACAGGTGTTATATCATGGGGGAAGAACATACAAAAGAAACAAAAAAAAATCACATAGTACATTACACACACACACACACACACACACACACACACACACACACACACGCTAAAAACTACAGCAAGAAAGGTAAAACCTCTTGTGTCCCTGTCTTGGGGTTCATTTTGCTTAGAATTATCTTATATGGTCATATGTACATAGCTTTTGACCTTTTCTGCTTGTCCTAGACATATACTAGTTATTGCAAATAAGGGAAACCATGGGATCTATGTTTCTTTGGGTTTGGCTTACTTCTCTTAATATAATTTTTTCCAAATCTTTCCATTACCTAACCAATGGGGGTGGTGTTATTCTTTTTGATGGAGGCACAGAATTCCAGCGTGTGTGTGTGTGTGTGTTTGTGTGTGTGTGTGTGTGTGTGTGTGTGTACATGCCACATTTTCTTGATCCATTCATCTACTGAGGGGCATCTGGCTTGGTTCTATATCTTAGCTATGGTAAATAATGCTGCAATAAACATAGCTGTGCTGGTTTATACATATTTTTAAATCTAAAAATTTTCTGAAGAACTTTGAGCTAAGAAAATAATTTATTCATCACAAACTTATACCCTGAAGTAAAAATATCTATACAAATATACATGCATACATATACAGACAAACTAACAGTAATATATATACTTTATATCCTATACTACAAAGCCCCTCAAACTATATTTTCAATTATAGTTTCTGATGGAAAATTCTATTCAAATTAAAATCTAGTATTAAATAAGTATTTTCTAAGTGGTGTGTGGAAGTGATAGCACTAATTATTTAAAAGTGAATACTTAAAAAAGAAAAAAAAGTGAGTACTTAAGGAGATAAGAGTACTTGGAGATAAGAGTCTCACAGACTTTTCTACCAAGGCTAGCTTCAAACCATAATTGTCAGATATCAACCTCGTGATTAGTTAGGATTACAGGTATGAGCCACTGGTACCCTGCAATAGAATTTTCATAATATTGGCATGCTATTGATTGTTTCATTATTAAGGAAAAAAATTCTTTAACATATCTCTTATGAAGATAAATATTTCCTTTCCTGAACTCCCATCAACTCTACTTAATTTAGGGCAAAACTTTCAAATTCAAATTACATTTCTGAAACTAGATATCCTTAATGGCCTTTAAAATGTGTCTTTAATTAGTACTTTTTTGGGGGGGGGCGGTCAGTTGTGGGGCCTGAACTCTGGGCCTGGGCTCTGTCCCTCAGCTCTTCAGCTCAAGACTAGTGCTCTACAACTTGAGCCCCAGCACCACCTCTGGCTTTTTCTGCTTCTGTGGTGCTAAGGAATCAAACCCAGGGCTTCATGCATGTAAGGCAAGCATTCTACCACTAGGCCACCTTAGCCCTAACTAGTACCTTTTGGAGTATTTGGGATTACAGGCATGCGCAACTGGCTTTTTTCCCCTTTGTGCCAGTACTGGGGCTTGAACTCAGGGACTGGGCACTGTACTGAGCTTTCAGGATGATATCTACCACTTGAGCCATGGCTCTATTTCCAGCTTTTTTGTGTATGTATGTGGTTAATTGAAACTAAGGATCTCATGGACTTTCCTGCCTGGACTGGCTTTGAACCTCAATCCTCACATCTCAGCTGTCTGAGTAGTTAGGATTATAGGCATATGCTATTGAGACTCAGCTTAGTATTTTTCTTGATATGTGTGAACAATATTATTTTTTCCTCCTTTTTAACATTACACTACCTTCATATTTAAATTTTTTCTTTGTTAAATGAAGAAAATACATTATTCTAAAGCAGTTGAATTAAAAGTGCTAAAGTGATTAGTATTAACATATTTTGCCTCAAATTTATACAAATAAGATATATGAAAAACTTTTATTATAAAGAAAAGTTAGTAATTAAGTTCTACCTCTATTTCTGTTTGATAAAGGTAAAATTCAATTATTACATAGGTACCTTAATGTATTTTCATAAAAAACAATTTTAACACTACTGATGGATATACTGAACTCTATTCAAAATACAAGCATCTCTGTATGATTAAATTAATAGTGGAGTTTACATAAAGAAATTCTCTTGATTTGTCATCTGTTTTTCTTTTTCTTCTTCATTTTTTAAAAAAAGGATTATCCACAGGTAGATTGAGCTACCTGTATTTTCAGGAATTTCAGTCAAAGCCTCATGAAGCAGAAGGGTTATAAAGGAGGTAAAGTGAGCAACACAACACATACCATTTTCTCTTCTCCCTACTCTCAAGACATCAACTTAATAAAGACTGGCAACATACTATCCCATTATTCTCTTAACATTTAAACATGTATATGTGACTTAACAAGTCCACAGATAATTACATGTTTCCCTTTCAAGGAATACAACCATTAACATATTTCAGCTATGAACCTACGTATCATGTTTTATAAGTTATCACTGCCCATTATTTTAACCCTAATATGTTTTTAAACAGTGAGGATACCTTATCATTCTATTGTCTCTATTGTTATTTGAACTTCTTAAGGATCTAATCATGCTGTTGGTTATATGCTCTAGGTCACACGCTTTTTATATTAAGCATTGTAACTAGAGATGATTTAAAGTATATGGAAGTAAATAGGTAATATGCAAATACTATGCCATTTTATATTAGGGATTGAACATCTACAGAATCTAGTGTCAATCCCAAGCAGATCTGAGAGACAACTTTGTAAGTTTGAATTGTAGTAATATAGTTTATAAATTACCATGTTCATTTATCTTGCTATGATTTAGTAATTTATTCATTGAGAATACACTGATTATCAACTATGAACTAGATATAAGACTATGAAAATAATTACATTTGGGTCTTGCCTCAAATCTAGGGAGTATAAGCAGATGTATACCAAAATATCATAATTCAATGTGACATAAAGTGATTTTGTATGAGTAACGGACAGAGAAATAGTATCTACTTACGTTAAGAAGTTGTTTTTTAGCATGTGTTCTAATCTGTCCTTGGTAAAACAAAAAGAGAAATACTTTTAATGTAATTATATTCATTATAATTATCATAATTAAAGAACATCTGTATTGGGTTTTACCCACAAAACTAATTACCTTTTGGCCAGGATCTATGTATTTGTGACAGAGTTCAACATCTTCAGGACAATTTGAAAGAATCATTGTTGTTGTAGTCTTGAAGAGTTCCTCCATAACCTAAGGGAAATGAAATGGAATTGCCTGAGAAAGTGAGCAACTTTTTACAAAGAACCTCTCTTCAGGCCTCAGATCAGAGGTTTCATATCTTTAGGTATTGCCAACTACAAATCTATTAACACAGTTAATTCCTCAGTGAATTAGTTTACTAGGCAGCTTAATTTCTTCTATGAGAGAAAGAAAAAAAGTCGAAATCTTCTTAGAATGTTATGTTACTGGTGTCTATATTGGTACAGAATTAAAATGTCAAATGAACAGCAATAACTAAATAACCTCTTTTTAAATACCAGTTAATGTGCTTGTAGACACAGGACAATAATAATGCCTAATTGATAGGACTGTTTTGAAAGTGTTTGTCTCAGAGAAGCACCGAGTACCTGTTGTTATGAAGACCAAGAACATTCTGCTAAGTGGTTCATTCAGTAACTTGTACCTAAAAGCAAACTTTAAAATGAAAGAAGCAGTAACTTATCTATAGCTAAAGTATAAAGTAAAAATAATATGAACTAGTATGTAAGAATTCATTTCACCAGTGGTGTTCTTAGAAAGACTCATGGAAGAAATTTTTCCTTATAAGAAAGCAGTAGCGAATGAAAATATTTCTGAAATATATATAGTCAAATGTAAAATTTGGGCATAGCCTAGTGGTACAGCATATGCTCAGCATCCAGAGTCCTGGGTTCAGGACTCAAATAAAAACACAAAAACCTAAAAGCAAAAATTCATGGTTTGAAATCAGCGAAATCTCTTTAGGTCCTTCAGATGATGTACCCATATTCACACACTTACAGAGTATAGGCTGTCTCAGAGGGAGGGATGCTCCTTTTATCTACTGTGTAACCTATCCAGGCTGGACAGTGGGGGCACAACTGCCTATTGAAGTAATTTGATATGATCAGATGTGGGAAAATATGTAAGTACCAAGTGACAACTTGATATATTTTTGATGCTTTAGTCTTTTTCAGTGGGATTTAGTGCAAACATCTTACTATATTGCATTCCTGGATTATTCTTTTACCATCTTTCACTATTGTTTCTTATCCTTGCAACTAACATGTACCTCAAACAGTGAAAGAAACTGGTGGGTATATGAGTTTCTAAGGCTCTGATTATGAAAAACAGTGATGGTAACTAATTTTGGAGAGAGCAACAGTAAAGAGAAAATTGAAGGGAATAAGTAAAACTTTAATTCTCTCTCCTTCCTTCCCCCATTTTTCTGAGGGGGTAGGGTGAGACAGAGATCATGCTATGTAGTCCCAGCTGACCTTCATCCTGCCTCAGTTTCCCTACTAGGACTGCAGTTGTGTCCCATCATGCCTGGTGAGGCAGAATTTTCTAAAGACCTTTTACTCTAGGATTATGAGAGATGTTTAACTGTAACTTAAAACAAAAATTTTAAGTCAGTGGATGAAAGGAAGGGAATAAAACCAGAGAAATCCAAATGAGAGGGAGATAAGAAGAAATAACTTGATGACAGAACAACTGGAGGCTAAGAATTTTATGCTTTGAGCCTCTATCACCTTCCAGAACAGCCATGAGATAAAGACATTACCAGGTGACTGAATGACTTATGAAGGGTTGTATCCGTCAATCAATGAACAAAGCCGACCTAAGTTAGAAAGGAGAAAGGACACCTGGATTGGATGGTTTGCCCACACCTCTGAGAAACACGATATGCCTATTTGTAAGATGAAGACTTTGACCAGTGTTGTTAAATTGGTCTTTTATAAGCAGTAAATTTTGATTTGAAAATGAAAATCACTGACTTCCCTAACATACTTTCAGACTATGCTCTAGATGTATATTCAAAGAAAACAAACTGAGGAATGAGCGTAACTCCATGAAATTTTGAAATGTATTGCTCCAAAAAAAACCTTATTGTCTAGAATATTAAAAACTGAATAAGAAATCAAACATATATTCAAGTGGAAAAGGACAAAAGACAAAATGATATAGATATGAAGGTATGAAATAAGCATATGAAAAAAAATAAATATGAATGCTGTTCAGTACAATTTAAAACCATGATGATATCTGTGTTATTCCTTACACAGTATTAGTTAAATATGCAGTAACTTCGATATAAACACCTTCTAACACTTAAAAAAATGTGTTCTCAATGGGATTAAATAATGGTTTTTAAGTTATCAGGGGAAAAAGCCTTTATTATAACATTCTAACAATAGGTAAAGGGACTGTTCTTTATCAAGGTAAATTGATTTCTGTGGAAATAATATAATTTATAAGTAAAAGAGAAGCAGGAGATTACTTTTGAGGGAGACTTTTGTCTTCTGTCTTCAGAAAAGGAGTTTATATTCTAATTGCACAATCAACAGTGAGTTCCAAAAGTACCAACAGTGGAGTACAATAACTCAAATAGCAAAACCTAAATATTCTTATCTGATTTACATGCCTATTTTTTTTTTTACTACCTTTTATGAAGGGCAGCACCAAGACTCACAAAATTTGTCAGGTGCATTCTTATGAAATTATGTAATAAATTGTTCAAACTGATAAGCTTTTTACTTTGGTGGCACTGGATTTTGAACTCAGGGCCTCCTGCCATCTGGGGAGGTGCTCTACTACTTTAGTCACACTCTCAGGTCTTTGTGTTCTAGTTAATCTTTGAATAGGGTCTAATGAATTTTTGCCTGGGTTGTCCTCAGGCTACAATCCTTCTATCTTTGCCCCCTCATAGCTGGGATGAGAGGCAACCACAAAGCTTAGCTTTTTTGTTGAAACAAAAGTCTCCCTATTTTTTTGCCTGGACTGGCCTTGAACCATGATCCTCTTGATCTCTGCTCCCAAATAACTGAACATAGACACCTGTCACTGGGCCCAATCTCAAGCTGGGATACTTTTGAGAGTAACAATTTATTATTTTTAAACTGACACATAGAAATGTAGGAACATGATAAAGAGGGGTTCTATGTGATATGTACATTATGTAATGCTTATATTTGGTTATCAATAGTTATCCTATTGTGAAATACTACACCAAACCTTCTAGCATCTAACTTTTTGCCTTTTATTTATTTTATTGTAAGGGTAATATACAGAGAGGTTATAGTTACATAAGTAAGATAATGAGTACATTTCTTGTCAAACATTATTATTGCCTCTCATTTTTCTCCCACTTTCCCTCCCCCCAACTCTCCCCTCCCCCCAAGTTGTAAAGTTCATTTCCAACATAGTGTCTGATGAGTATCACTTTTGCATTGGTTCACCCTTTGTCCTTTGTCTCACCATTTTGTTATCCTCCTTCGCTTCCCCAAATCAGATTCAGATACACACACACACACGCACGCACGCACGCACGCACGCACGCGCGCGCCACAGGCTACCAAAATAAAAAACAGTGACAACAGGGGATAAACCAAAGGAAAAGAAATGAAAAAGAAAAAACTTCACACAGTACATTAAAATAAAAACAAAAACAAAAAGCAGGGCACCAGAGGCTCACACCTGTAATCCTAGGTACTTAGGAGGCTCACCTTGAGCTGAAATGCTCAGTGACAGCATTCACGCCCCGAATTCAAGCCCCATGACCGAGAAAAAAAAAAAAAAAAAGAAACCCACCAAAAACAAACAAAAAAACCTCTTGGAGTTCATTGTGATTACTTACCCTCATTTTATATGGTACTACTACATAGCTATTGAGCAATTGTGATCCTCTACTGGTAATATTCTAGACATACACTAATTATTACAAGTGAGGGAAAACACAGTGGCTCCTAACTTTTACCTAAAGTCTTTTTTTTGTTTGTTTTTTGTTGGTCATGGGGCTTACGCTCTGGGCCTGGGTGCTGTCCCTGAGCTCTTCAGCTACAGCACTTGAGCTACAGCACCACTTCTGGTTTTTGGTGGTTAACTGGAGATGAGTCTCATGGGGCTGGCTTAGAACCTTGATCCTCAGATCTCAGCCTCCTGAGTAGCTAGGAATACAGGCAAGAGCTAGCAGTGCCCAATTCTAAAGTCTTTTTGATAGTAACACTACTGCAATGGAAAAATATTGAAAATGGGGAACAGAATAGTGGTAGTTGTAGTTTACAGATGACAGTGAGTGGAGGAGAATTAGGGAGTATTTAGGGACCTTTGGAATGTGTATGTTCTGTATGCTGACTTTTTAAATGTGTATATCCTGGTTGTGATACTGTTATTTTGTCAGATGTTTATCAATGGTAAAAACTAAGTAAAAGATGTCTCTGTATCAAATACTTTTTCCCCCTTTTCCCAGTACTGAGAATAGAACCAAATAATACAGAATTGTGTGGCAGATTCAAAGGAAAGTTGTTTAAGGAATGTATAAGGACTTTTTCAGATCTCTGACTCTAAGATTCTAAAATTTAGAAGAGGGTTATTGCCTAGGGGCACAACAGACACTAGGCCAGAATTCTTTTGGTGGAAGTATAGTTGTGATTTGTAGGATACTGAACAACATCCTTGTCTTTACCAACTACATGCCAGGATGTAGTCTGTCTACCGCTGTCTACTCCCTGGTATGAACACTCAAACAATGTCTCATGTCCATCAGTAGAAGGTGTTTGGAGTTTGAAAAGCAGTGCTACAGTGTATGACCAGATTGAACCTTCAAGGCCAAATACCCTATCTGGGAACTTGGGAATGTTGATTGCTCAGAGTTGAGACTTATGCACCTCTCTCTTTAGGAATGTCAGGCCTAAAGGCACTGTCTCATTATGACCCTTTCAGAGGCTAGCCATATATAGGCAAGACTGACTTAATGGGAGTAAGACCAAAAGTATATCCCCTTGCATTTGTAAGGGGCAAATGAAGAACTATTCCACCTCCAAAGTTTTCTATAGGCTAGAAAATGGCTCAGGCTTTTAAAAATTCGTTACAATGCCAGGTGCCGGTCTGGCTCATGCCTGTAATCCTAGCTACTCAGGAGGCTGAGATCTGAGGATCCTGGTTCAAAGCAGGCCCAGGCAGGAAACTCTGTGAGACTCTTATCTCCAATAAACTACTAGTAACCCAGAAGTGGTGCTGTGGCTCAAGCAGTGGGGTGCTTGCCTTGAGCTGAAAAGGGCATGGATAGCGCCCAAGCCCAGAGTTCAAGCCCCACAACTGAGGCCCCCCCCCAAAATAAAATCATTACAATTCAACTTTTCTCTCTTCCCAATGCTATTTTCTTCTTTCCTTATAGGTGTTTTTCTCAAAAACATTCCTCAATAACCCCTCTGCCAAAAAAATCTCTGGCTTGTTTAGTAGAAAATCCAACCAAGGACAGGGAAATAAAATAATCCTAATCTATTCGTGGCATATATGGCACTTATGCTTTAAATGGAATTGTCATTAACTAAGTAAATCAGAGTAGAAACATACACACGATTGGAAAAGGGGAGATGATGGGAAGTAACAAAGTAAACATATCACAATTTCAAATCCAAAGTATGATAGTGACCAAATTATTATTGAATAGAGAATACAAAATAATAACAATTATTTCTAGGTAATTACTAGGTGCCATAAACTGCTTAATGCTAAATGCTATATATCACGTGTCCAAACCTCTTGACTACCTTATAAAGTAGGAAATATTATTCTCATCTTTACATTAGGAAATTAAGAACCAAAGAAAGTAAGTTCTTATATAAGGCTACATGGCAAATAGACTGTAGCACTAAAAACCAAATCCTGATCCACTCAACTGCAGAGCTGTATGCTCTATCTGCTTATGCCCACAGTCTCCAAAACAAGGCCTTCCACTGCCCCTATTTTTATCTCCCTCAAAATCATTCCTCATATTGCTGCTAGAGACAGGTTTCTAAAATATAACTGACAATGCTTGGATGCAACTTAAACATGATTTATCTGTTCAACTATTAAACCAGAAACAGTCAGTAAATGTTGGTGAAATTAATTTAACAATTCTCCATCCTACGCAAACCTTCTGGGATAAAAATATATACAGAATGCCACAAATAATTGAAAATTTGTACCTACCTGCATGAGATCCTGAAGGGTCTCAACAAAAGAAATCTCTGCTTCTACCATATAAAACTCTGCCAGGTGTCTACGGCTCTGGGAGTTCTCAGCTCGAAATGTTGGGCCAAAAGTAAACACTTGAGTAAAAGCTCTGTAATTCAAGATTAAGAGCATGAAAATGGGATTCACATGATTAAGTAAACCACTCAATGAGGGTTAATGAAAAAAAGTTTTTTCTCTGTCATGATAACAAGCCCACATATTTTAGTTATTCTATTTTTTACTGGGTGATAATAAAGTTTCATTAAAAACATTACATTTACAGCAACCATTTTATTGTAATAGAATTTGCAACTGCTTTTCAAACACCCCGGTTTTCTAAATATAGAAATATAATCACTTCTGGGTGTACTGCAGCTATTGCAGCTGCCTCAACAGCAGGCAACTACATTTCACAGCAATCAAGAACAAAGTAAAGGAAAAAAACCCACAGGCCAAGAAACCACACAGACAATCCAGTTAGTAACAGTGAAAACCAGAATTTCATGTGGATAAGCTGGGCTCATTTATTTTTTACATAGTGAAAAAAGGATGTCAGATGTGTATAAAAATTAACATTATTCCCAGCCTACATGTCTCGCACAATCAATTTATATTTTTTTCAATCAATGCTAAATGACTGCCTAAGTTTGTAAGAGAAAGCAGATTGTGAAAAATCCATCTTCTACATTTCAAAAAGAACCACAGTTCAACCAGCCAAATAAAGGGAAAAATTCCTTTATTTTAACATTGCTACAAAGCAGTGGACAATATATCTTCTTTTTTTTTTTTTTTGGTCAGTCATGGGGCTTGAACTCTGGGCTTGGGCACTGTCCCTCAGCTCTTCAGTTCAAGGCGGGTGCTCTACCGCTTGAGCCATAGTGCCACTTCCGGTTTCCTAGTGGTTTATTGGAGATAAGAATCTCATGGACTTTCCTGCCTGGGCTGGCTTTGAACCACGATCCTCAGATCTCAGTCTCCTGAGTAGCTAGGATTACAGGCATGAGCCACCGGCACCCGGCTTAGACATCTTCATTTTTTTTTTATTATGTGTAGTCTACCTCATATTAAGACATGGCAACAACTGACATTAGAGCAAACATACATGAAATAATAAATATTTCTTCAGGACTTAACCACAAATTTTATTTTAGAGCAAACCAAGAGTTTTGGGGATCCTTAACTAGGATACTGTCATTTACTGAAGACATGAAGATCAGTAAACATGGCTGAAAGTAAGTATATATGCTCTCGGGAGGCTGAGTCAGAAGGTTCACAGTATTCTAGGATAGCCTGCACTGTTTAGTGTACCAAAACCTTGTCTCTAAAAACAAAACAAGATAAAAATCATTAAGCATAGTACAAAAAAATAGGCAAATTTTAAAGTACATACTAGTCTTATTTTTCAAAGTAAAGATAGTCTGGGAAATGAAACTACAGTAGAAACCAACTAGTACTCTGGGAAATGTAACTATAGTAGACATCAAGAGATTTGTTTTTTCTTTCAAAAGGCCATTTCAGTTGGTATAAGAAGCTTAAGAATTTATGTTCTGGCTCTACAGATGCCTTCCTGAGACTAAAATCAGTTAGCCTTCAAGAACCTTAGCTTTTAACGAGAAGATAAACAATAGAATTTCAAATATATGACTACAGTTAGCTTTCCCCAAGGTTCAGATTCACACCTGTCTACTGAAGTGTTCCTAAAAGACTAAACCTACCTGTGCAAAACAAAAACTTGTGCTTCAATCCTATACACAACGTAATGAACATTCCTACTTTTTTTTTTTAATATTTCCTTGGTTCTGTTAATCTAAATTAATCTTCTCAGTCACTCAAGCTGGACTGCATGACTCCCACTGCCCATGTTTCCCATTACTGCATTGGTTACAAATTTCAATTGTTTATACTCTGGAAAACTCAAGTCTCATCTCCATAGTGGCTGTCCGTGTAAACTCTTCTCTTCTGCTTGGAAATGAGGCTTCTGTTGTTTTAGAGACTGTCTTGTTAGATAGCTCAGGTTCCTTACCTCAGCCTCCAGAGTAATGAATTATTGGTGTGTGCCACCATGCCTGGCAAGAAATACTCTTCTTTCTTTTTTTGTCAGTCATGGGGCTGAACTTTGGGCCTGGGTGCTGTCCCTGAGCTCTTCAGCTCAAGGTGAGTGCTCTACCACTTGAGCCACAGCGCCACTTCCAGTTTTCTGGTAGTTAATTGGAGATAAAAGTCTCATGGACTTTCCTGCCTGGGCTGGCTTTGAACCTTGATCCTCAGATCTCAGCCTCCTGAGTAGCTAGGATTACAGGCATGAGCCACTGCAGTCCAGCAGTAACACTCTTCTGACTGGTGTCTGTCATCTATTCTTCTGGCCTCAAGCTACTATAAGTTTTAAAACTCAAATTTCATTGTGTTAGCCTAATTTAAAAATCTTCAGTGATTCTACACTGCCAAAGAATAAAATTCAATCTCTTCATTTCAACTTGTGTCTCCTTCATCCAGCCTTTTTTCTCCATTCACTCTGCAGACCTCCTTACAAAGCATGCCCCTGAACCTTTAGATGTCTGAATATGCTGCTCTTCTCTCTCTAAATCATGATACCATGGAACCTTCAAGACAAGGCTCAGATGTCATTTCCTCTCTGAAACATCACCATATATTCTTAAACTTATGGTTCCCTTCTGTATGCATATTAACTGTATTACTTTGTGTATTTATTCTATAAAGCTTATCCCTGTGAAAGTAATTATGTTTTAAAATATCTCCCTCTCTCCACCTCTCAAACCATGAAAATTTCCAGAACAGGCATCATGTTTTATTCATATTTGCAATTCCAATGCCTGGATAAAACAGGTGCTCATGCTGAATGAATGAGCACTAATGATGATGACAGGCTTCCTCAGCATCAACTGGAAAAGCACAACATCCTCAACAGCAATGTTATAAATATAGAAAAATACTCAGATACATATTTCTGAGGCTATAACTTTATACTTAAAATGAGTATGTAAAGTAGGTCAAACAATTCAGCTCTGTTCAAACAACAAATTTTAAAGTTACAAGGACTCAAGTCTCTAATCTGTGACTATCATCTCAAGGAAGGTTGGCAATGTTAACCATGACATTTCTTTTTGGTGCTGCACCGCAAGAATACAATATTTACACATCACACATGGTGACCCATGCCTGTAATCCTAGCCACTTAGCAGACTGAGATACAGAGGATCTTAGTTCATGACCAACTTGGGCAGAAACTTGTAAGACCCCACCTTAACCAAAAACTAACTGGGTACAACAACACAGGTATATCATCCCAGCCATGTGTTCTCTGAAAATAACAAAAGCAAAAAGGGCTGAGGTATGGTTCAAGTGGTAGAACACCTGATTGGCAAGCAAGAGCCTGAGTTCAATCACAGCATGGGAATGGAGAAAGGAGGGAAAGAAGATTACAGCATTTACAAATGAACACTGAAGTGCATCTTAGTAAAACTTTCCAGAGTATAATGCAGCATAATTAATTTAGTTTGGAGGTTCTGAAATACAAAGAAGGTCAATGGGATCTCTTTGCCAAAGAGACACGTGATTTGTTGAATGTACGAGGTAGTAAAAACAAAGTGACTTCTAACAAGAAGTTCAAATCACAAGGGAATTTACTTCTCAATCGCATGCTATGTAAAATGCTCTAGAATGAGTAGCAACCAGGATGTTTAAGATTTAACAATGGGGGCTAGGAATGTGGCTTAGTGGTAGAGTGCTTTCCTATCATGCATGAAGCCCTGGGTTGTATTCCTCAGTACCAAAAGTGTTGCTGTGGCTCAAGTGGTAGAGCTCTCTAGCCTTGAGTACAGAGAGGCTCAGGGACAGTGCCCAGGCCCTGCGTTTAAGTCCCAGGACTGGCAAAAGAAACAAGAAAAAAAGATTTAACAATGGTGAATGTCTTTTCCTAGATATGCTGAACAATTTTTCTAGTATAAAATGTAAAAGAGAGGGGCTGGGAAGGTGGCTCAGTGGTAGAGTGCTTGCCTTGCATGCCTGAGGCCCTGGGTTCAATTCCTCAGCACCACATAAGCAAAAAGAAAAAAGCCTGAAGTGGTTCTGTGGCTCAAGTGGTAGAGCACTGGCCTTGAGCTGAAGAACTGAGGGACAGCGCCCAGGCCCAGAGTAGGCCCCACGCCCGGACCCCCCCAAAAAAAGAAAAATGTAAAAGAGAATCATGATGGTTTTTGTATTTATAGTAAAGATCCATATTGTTCTGATTGGAGCAGTTAAATAACATGCAATAGTAAAAGAACAGGTGGCCAAGGTGTTTCCTCTGAATAGAAAAACAAAATGAGCTGGATGGTATGGTAAAAATTGCTGAACTTGCTAACCAGTCTTTAACCAGAAGGAATGCTTGAACTATTCAATAATGGTCACCCTACTTTAATGGACAGTGTTCTATTTTAATGTAGTGACCGCATTAGCAATGACAATGGTGATACTTTAGGGAATGACTTTCACAGATCAGGTATCAAATGTTAGAATCTTAAAGTGTGCCCTTCTGTAGTTGACTCTGTACTATTATTTCTATGTTCCAGTAAGAAACTGAAGTTCAGAAGTTAAAAAAGATTTTCCAAATGTCATAGAGCCATAGTCTAAATACTGGTAGAGGTCAGATTCAAATTCAGATCTACTCTAATGCTCACAATCGTGACCATAATATGAACAAAAATTATATTCACAACATAAACTCAGAAAATTAGAATGAAAAATTCATAGCACATTCTGTCTATGCAAAGATAACTAAGATAAATACTTTGGTATTTATTTTCCTTATGGATAATTTGTTTTGTTAAACTACAGCTGTTGAGGATATGTTGTATTCTTTTATTTTAATTTTTATTGAAAAGATGATGAGCAGGGGGTTTACAGTTATATAAGTAATGAGTACATTTGTTTTTAGTCATTGTTACTCTGTCCCTCATTGTCTGCAACTTACCCCTCACTATTCCCTTCCCCCCCAAGTTGAAATGTTCATATCCAACACAGAGTCAAGTGAGTAATAATGTTACTTTGGTTCATCCTTTATCCCGCTGTTTCTGTGATTCCCTTTCCCTTCCACATATTGAATAATCTTTT